GTAATTCTATTATTATTTATTTTTATTCTCATCTTCATGATTCTATTCACTAAAATAAAAACTTCTTGTTCTAAAGATTCATTTAATAAATTAATATTAGCTTTATCTTTCAATTTTATTTAATTTAAATAAAATATATTTATTCATTCATTAATATGTTATTTAAATATTGTAATGAATAATCAAATAATATGTTCATTTAAAAATATGAATAAATAAATATATTATATGATAAATGGATTAATTATTGAATTAATTATCATTAATATTGATTATAATATATTAAAATGAGTATTATTAAAAGAAAATAGAATGAAATAAATAAAACAATTAACTAAAAATAAAGAAAGAACTAAGTTTTGATTTAATGAATTTAATAAATGAGTGTGTTAATTTTAAATTATCAATTATTATTTCATTAATAAAAAAATGATTTATTAAATATGAAACAAGATACTAACATTAGTAATAAATGATTTGATTATCATTTAAGTTCATTTCTATTTTACATATTGTATTATTAAAATTAGATGATATATAATGAATTTAATTATAATGAAATTATTAATATTTATATTGTCTTATTATCATTTTGTAATGACATTCAAACTAAATTATTATTTAATATTGCTAAAATGTGTTTCAATGAGTATATGATTTGTATTTGTGTTGTTGATAATTTTTATTTATCTTGTTTCTAATATATTATAAACCATTTGATGAGTTCATTTCTCTCAGAATATCATAATTTATCAATACAATACATTTATAAATGAATAATATTCATAATAAATATATTTTTTTGAATATAATATCATTCAATATTATCAATAAATGAATGAGTTGTGATTATGATAATAATCAGTAACTGTAATAATAATGAATAATTTTGAGTAATATAATGATATTTCATTATTTATTATAATAAGATTATCTATTATAATATCATATATCTCATCTTGTTCAACAACTTGATTTAGTATTATTTAATCAATTCAAAAATCAAATTAGAATGAAGAATATTAATTTAATCAATGAAATATAATCTCTTCAGTCATTTCAAAATGTAAATCATTATGATTATGAAATAGATTAAATATATTTGAATATCATTAAAATAATAATTTATAATTTAATTGATACTTTTATCAATTCATCTATACTTATTATTGAAATGAATAAAGAACAAGAAGAAAACAAAGAGCATTAATAACTAATCATATGAAAAATATTATGAAAACAAAAGATTCAATTACTATTCTTGTATTAATTAATTCTTTTTTAAATAATCTGTTATTTTCATAATGTATAACAAGAAAGATATGAGAGTTTTTGTTAATTTAGAGTCTACAATAAGAAGAAATAATGAAAATAAAAGAAGTATTAATATCTCATATTTTCATTAATTAAAATTACATGAACCACAAAATGATTTCTTTTACACTCATAAAATAGATTAAATGAAAATCTAAATGATTAATAAATAATTTATAATATATAACAACAAATTAACACATAGAGTAACATAAAAAAAATAACTGAATAAGAAATAAGGAAAGAATAAATAATATAATCATTTCATTTTATTTTTTAATTGAAAAAAGAGTACAGCAAAATAATTAAAAGAATAATGAGAAAAAGAACAAAAACTTCATTTTACTACCTTTACTTAAAATAAGTCATATCATCACAACACCTTTACTACTTTTATTTACTATATTAACCCTAACTAGATTTTACTTCATTATACTTCCTATTTCTCCTACTGTACTCTTTTGAAATAGGTTATTGAATAAACCAAAAAAAGAAATAATTTTCAAAGACAGGAAATGTTTTTATTTATTAAACAAATCTTTAAAAGATTTTCAATTAAATTTAAAATTTTAATGTTTTCATGATAAAATGAATTATAACAATAACATTATTATTTTTTCTATTTCAATTAATTTTTTATTGAAATAAAAATAATACAATTTAATTTAAATAAAAATAATATTATAAAATACTTAATATTGTAACCCTGGTGGTATTTAAACAAAAAAACAAAAATAAAAAGTATCATACTTGGTGCTCCAGCTAGGCTAAACTCTTTTGGTTGTAGACCTCGTTTAAGATCACCTAGAGTAAAAGGTATTATGAAAAAAGACAAGACATTACTCAATTAGTAATGTTTTAACTTCGTAATAAATAAATATAAAAGAATTATTTTATTATGGATAGAAACTAATTAATAATTAAAATTTACCTTCTGAATTATTATTAATAAATGAAAATTGTTGATTTGTAGTATTTTCAGTCTTTTTTAACCAACAAATAATTTTAGTTAAATTTTTAGTACTTCCTCTTGAAACGTCCATTCTCAAATTACAATGAGCACAATTAATATAAAAAGATCCATTTCCTACTGGTTCTAATTCCCAATGATTTTCTTCAACACTTTCAATTCCATTTGTTTGTGTTACTTTTGTTCCAGGTTTAGTTTTATTATGTTTTCTACCAAGATATTTTTTTGAATGACTACATTGTAAAACTATACAACGTTCATGTCCAGGTATTTCTAATTGTTTTATCTTAAATAATTGATTTTTCTGTTGGTTAGAATAAAATAAACTTATTGGACTTCCATCTTTCATAGATTCTCCATTTACATCAATTCTCATAGTTGGAGCACAAACAGGTTGAATTTGATATATATTATTGTTATAGAGTACCATATAAACTTTCTATCATTTCTTTTTCATCTCTTTGACTTTATTTCTAGTCTCTATTCTAATCTATTCTATATTCATGACTCATAAATTGATGTTC